CCAATCTTCAAAGGGAAATCATTTACCATGCCCAAGGGTCTTGTTGAGGTGTCATCCACAAAGGTGATAGAGGCTTTGCAGGGCTTCAACTCCTTGATTCCTAAGGTTTGGCTCAAGTGGAGAGACATGACATTCACTGTTGAACCTGAATCACACAAAGCTCCAACATTGTCGAGCATCTCAAGCTCACAAGTGATGAGAAATTTTCCTGGATTGGGAAGCTTTGTCAATGTCTTCAGCTCCTTGCTTCTCTTCAGATTAGCCCCCACATTCTCTAGAATTGGCTCCACTATTTCCAGCTTGTCAAAGACTTCTTTGAGGAACCTGATTTGATCCTTCATTTCAAGCAAAGTGGTGCCATGAGGAAGCTTTATTCCAGCGTCTTGTATGTCTTTTCTGAACTTTGAATAAACTGCCATTTGAGCCTTTGTAAAGTGCATCGTGGGGTAAGAGATTGGTGGTCTATAAGCTTGAACTTTAGGAGCTTTACCCTTCTCATTGCTGCTTGAGGTGCTGCCCACTTGGCGATCATACAACTCCTTGAAGTCTTCAGGACTTTCTCTAGCCAAGACCATCAAAGCATGGTATGTCTCTACAAGCTCTTTATCAGCTTCACTGAGCTCTGGTTTGGCTTCTTCTGGAGCAACTAAGGCTTTCTCAGCAGCTTCTCGTGCGGCCCTTTCTTGCTCTTCTTCTCTGTTCAAGCTTTCATCTAGTCCTTGGAGGAAGTTTTCTACAATATCAACAGCTTCTTGATCATCAATGGTGACGTTGATGACATTCCCCCCACACTCAGCCTTTAACATGTCCACATGTAACAGCAACTCTTGAAGCATAATGCCAAGCTCTTCCAATGAAGCATCTTCATCATCTAACTCTTCATCCTCTTCAGCAAGCAAGTGGCAGAATTCCTTAGGATTTGCTTCCCTCTTTCCTGGTAACTGATTATGAGGTTTTTAAGATGAAGCTCCTTTGCTTTCTAGAGACTTGACTCTTTGGTTCAGAGCATCTAACTTGCCATTCAGGTCACAAGTAGTAGCGTCTATCTTGTTATGCACTTCAGCAAACTTCTTGTGCAGCTCTATAGTGGTGTTGGCTTGACCAGTCAACAACTGTTGCATCATCTGCTTCAAATCAACATCTTGAACCCCAGAAGAGGTTTGTGTATTGCCAAGACCTGGTGGGACAAAAGCTGGTCTTGGCTGAAAGTTAGCTTGTTGAAAACCGCCCTGAAATGGTGGTCTTGGAGCAAAGTTGTTCTACTGGTGGAAAAGAACAAAATGTTTGGTTCCTTGGTTTTGTTGAGCAGCTTGTGATGGATAGACTTGATCCTGAGGGTTAGCCACGTTGGTGCTTCTATAAGAGAAGTTGGAATGGTTCATGTACTTGTTAAAACTGCCTCCTTGTTGATTTATGTAGAAGGCTTCTTCTTCTACAACTGTCCCATCTTCCTCTTGTGTAGCAACACTATCACCAACAAAACTGACATTCTTGAAAGACACACTCAGCAGCTTGTCTAACTTTTCATTCAAAGCTTTAATCTTCTTCTTTGTTGTGCTCTCACCTTCAGCGCTTACAACTGCTCTAGATGTTCTGTCATATTCTTCACCATAGTTGCCATTAAAAAGTGCCAAATTCTCCACAAGAGCTAGACCATCTACAACAGTATTGCCCATGAATTTTCCATTGGAAGCTGTGTCCAAGAGCATCCTGTAATTTGGCGTCACTCCTCTATACAAAGTAGACAGCAAGCTTTCATTTGTGAAGCCATGGTGTGGGCACTGTAAAGTGTAGGACTTGAACCGCTCCCATGCTTCAGAAAATGTCTCATTCCCATGCTGAGTAAAGCTGCTTATGGTGTTCCTGAGCTTTGCTGTTCTTGTTGAGCTGAAGAATTTGTTGAGGAATGCTGTCTTGCACTCACTCCATGTAGAGATTGAACCTTGTGGAAGTGTCTTCTCCCACTGATGTGCTTAGTCACCTAAACTGAAAGGGAACAAGCGCAGCTTCAAAGCATCTTCAGAGACTCCTTGAATCTTGGTCAGACCACACACCTTATCAAACTGGTCAAGATGATCCAAAGGGTCTTCATTGAGGCCATGAAATATATTGCCTTGCACCATGTTGATCAACCCAAGCTTGATCTCGAAGTGGTTTTGATGTACAGCTGGAGCGTGAATGCCATTCCTGTTGTGGTGAGTATCAGACGCATCACCAGCTCCTATTGGTCTTGCAGCTCTAGGTGTGTGAACTGGTACTCGCAATCCCTGAACTCCAGCCGCTTGGTTCAAAGCTTCTTGTGCTTCATCTATGTGTGGTGCAGCTTGTTGTAATGGTGCTTGTCCAACAACACCAATATGTGGTAACTGAGCTTCTTGCTCTGCCATCCTCTGTTCTTCTAACTCTTGAACTCTCTGTCTTACAGCTCTTCTCCTATGGATGTTGTCAATGAAAGGAGTCAGATTTGATGAGCCTTTAGACCTAAAATATATACAAGTACCTGAAAAAACAGAGCACAGAAAACAGAGCAGATTAGTAACTTTTAAAGTAAAGAACTTAGTCTAACAGCAATGTTAAACTCAAACAATCCACAAATGGCAACAACGCCAATTTGAAGGACTTTTTGCAAGTCTAAACTCAAATGTCCTTAGCCTAATCAGATGTATAATATGGATCAGGTATCTATTCAATTTGTGGAAGATGAGATGCAAACAATGCTGTAAGCTAAGCAAGATTGGGGATTTGATTTTGCAAGAGCAAGTATAACAACCTAATAATGCAATGGAAGGAAAACATAAACTAAATGCAAGTGAACAAAACTAAACAATGAACTTAAGGCAATCACTAAACAAGAACTAAGAAAGAATGACTACTAGAGCAAGAACTAAGCAGGATGATCTTTAAGACAATTAATTAAAAGCAAGACTCAAGGTTCTAAGCAATTGTGGGATAGTGGTTTTCAAGAGAGACAAAAGGGATTTCTACTAAGGCACTCAACAAGCATTAACAAAGCAAAAAATTCTCAATGTTATGCTCGTAGACAAGGTATCTAAAGGGAACCACTTGGCGTCAATAAGCAATTCATATTCAACAAGATCGAAGTGTCAGACCCACTTGTGATGGCGTATCCTTCAACCATGAGCATAAAGATCAGAACCATTCTAGCCTAAGAGATGCACCAATCAAGCAACTAAATTCTCACCCAGGCAAGAATTCAGATCAACTTATCAATCTTGTGAACCAATAAGGACCTACGCAGCATCAAGATTATGGATTTAAGCACAAACTTGCAACATCCTAACAAAGCTAAGAAATAAACAAGAATGAAGCAAAAGCAAGATCTTTCAATACATACTATCTAACCATCAAGCAAAAATCTCAAACCAGCATTATCTAGCCCTAAGCGAATCATCTAGCTTTAGTGAACTATCACTTTGGTGTCACTGAACAAAGGAAACATAGACTAAGCTAGACTATCAAGCCAAATAAGCGAACCATGCTTAGAAAAGAGATATCAAAACATCAAGCGAACCATATGCATCTATCAAACCATAATCAATCAAAATGAGCAAGCTTTATCAACATTAATAACTTTGGAAGAGAAGGAGATAACAGAGAACCATTAAACAAGCCTAATCACCCCTTAATCACATCTTGATCACCACTTTCCCTACTCACTAATCATGTTTAATCCCATTGATTTAGAGTTAAACATAACTAGATGAGGTTAAAATGCAAAGATAATAAATCTAAACTACCAAGGTGCAAGAACAAATATTAAAAGACAAGATTAAACCATAAAAATGCATACTTTATTAAAGATAAAGATCCTTAAGGCAAATCACCCTTTAAGGTTTAGAGAAGGTTTTTGATAGATAGCTAAACTTGGATAAGATAGAACTTGTTAAAAATAATATTTTGTGGCTTCTCTTTTATAGTAGGGAGCCAAAAGAAGCATAAAAAACCTAAAAAAAATAGGATAAGGTTAACAAAAGTCAAGTGGTCAACGCGGATGAGTTGCATCGAGGTCGTACGGTCGATGTTCTGCTCGATATGCGACCTCGATATGGTCCGTGCAGCGCGTATCAATGTCCTTCCTCGATGCTGGTCCTCGATCCAGACCAATGGCTTGGAATCCTCGTGCTGATCATTTTCCTCTCGTCCTGCTGCTTGCATCGAGCATACTCCACATGTGTTCAGCTCGATATGCTTGCTCGATATGGACCAGACTTTGCAAGAACTCCATTTTTGACATCTTATTTGATAATGAGCTACTTCCATCTCCTCCCAAGCTCCAAGAAACTCCAAAAACACCTGAAAACCACCACAAACATGCACATGTATGCAAATGTATGCAATCCTAAGCTAAATGCATGCTATGTTGATTTTAAGTGCAAATGTTACTAAAATGCTAAACTATAATGAAAAAACAGAGGAAAAGATGTATGAAATGCAACCTAAAATGATCTAAAATAGCAAGCTATCAAACCAGGAAATTTCTTATCACACGTTGTATTATTAATGTACGGATCCACATCCTTTCAAACAGAGGTCGTTGTATTATTAATGTACGGATCCACATCCTTTCAAACAGAGGTAGAATCTAATGTGAGACCTTTTTTCCTATTTTAGCATTTTGTTGTTGGAATGGCTTCTTTAAGTGGATCACATATTCCAAAATGCTTGAAAAAAAAAATTATTCGGTAATAGACTATGTATACGAGATTAATTGATGTCAAAAATCCTCATTTTCTCAGGTTTTGATTTGCAGAATGTAATCTAAAATATTTCTATAAAATTTGAAAACTATTAGAATGGAAAAATAGTTTATGATTATAAAAGTTGTTTTGGACCGTAATCTTAAGATAACCTGGCTAGTTTTCTAGAGTTTTTCCATTTTACTTATAAAGTTGTAAAATAAAAAAATAAAAATCAAGCACCTATACAAATAATGGGATGATCAACCTGACAAAGATAGAGACAATCTCGCTAAGTAAAAGCTAAAATTGTTTCGCAACCTCACAAACTCTGATTCGAGATTCTTGCAAGAAAGCTGCAGCGAAAGATAGGAATATGAAGTACCATTTTTGCGTCGAGTCTCTGGAATCGAATCCTCATAGCAAAAGTGCAACAAGTATCAAAGGATTGGTCATAGCATCAACGAAGAATGCTGCATTCAACACGATTAACATGGAAAGACTCGCTAAAACGATCCTCAATGAAAGGAAAACTTCTCCTGGTAATAAGGCAGCATTACGTGATTGCATCGAGCTTTATAAAGATGCAAATAGTTCTTCAAACAAAGCTTTAAGGAACGTTAAATCACAGGATTATAGAAGAGCTAATGAGTATCTGATTTCTGCTTTTGATGCACCGAGAATTTGTGAAGATATATTCACAAAAATCATGAAAGAAAAATCTCCGATGAGAGATGAGAACAATGTTTTGTGTCAAAAGATTTTGATTCCTTTCGCTTTTTCAATGATGTTATGATAAAATTTCCCAAAGTGTAATTATTCAACACTGATTAATAAGAAACTTAATAGAATTACATTATCTTGTGTTTAGCAATATAATGTGTTAAATGTTAATGATAGTTTTTGGTTTTACTATATGTAGTACTCTAATATGCTCACATATATGATCACTATTTTTTAGATGTTTAACTAAATATCCCTTGTGGTATATGCAAACATTTATGATTCTTATTTTACGTGTTATGGGAACAATCAGTTTAGTTATGCATAAAAAGTATGATAACTTTTTGATAGAGAATGCAATCAATATATACCCTGCTCTATTTCTATTTTATAAAAGATTTAATTATTTTTATTACCAAATAAATAGATAATTTAAAATAAGCAAAAGCAAAACAAACGACAATTGTAAGAATTCAGACATGAGCCTTCTAAAAAAACTGCAAAGTTTTAGAAATATATTTGCTTAGAACGGACTATTATGATGCTCAAAAATCAAATGAAAGTTATAAGTTTTTACATGGAACCAGAAAATTTCTTATCAATTGTTGTGTTATTATTGTCCGGATCCACATCCTTTCAAACAGAGGTAGAATCTAAGGTGAGACTCTTTTTTCTATTTTAGCATTTTGTTGTTGGAATTGCTTCTTTTTGTGGATCGCATACTCCAAAATGCTTGAAAAAAAAAGAAATTTTATTCGGTAATAGACCATGTATACGAGATTAACTGATGCCGAAAATCCTCATTATCTCAGGTTTTGATTTGCGGAATATAATCTAAAATATTTCTATAAATTTTGAAAACGTTAAAACTCTATTTAATTAGAATGGAAAAATAGTTTATGATTATAAAGGTTGTTTTGACCCTGATCTTAAGATAACCTGGCTAGTTTTCTAGAGTTTTTCCACATTACTTATAAAGTTGTAAAAAAAAAATGAATCAAGCACCTATACAAATAAAGGGATGCTTATACAATAATTCTGGAAAACACGAAGATTAAGAGCACAAGCGCTGATGACAATTAATGACAACTTTTTGTCAAATCATACTCTAAAAGCACTAATGACATTTCTCTCTGTGTTTTACGAATTACTACAATATACAAGCCACTTAGGGTCACAAAGGTCAGAGTAAATATCAATAAAAATAGCTTTACCAGAAAATGAGAGAAACAAGCTAATACAATAACTTGGTGATAGCAATGTCATTGCTCACATTGGTAAAATCACATGATCATATACTCCCGCAAACAAACTTAGATTGCTGATTACTGATTTATATACTTATATTCCTTTCATGAACATTGTACCTTTAAGAAAATAAGACCACGAGTATAGTGTTTATAATCAATATTGTGATTCACAATATATATCCCAAAGATGTTCAATTGGTAATATTACTATTCCAATACCTCTTTATGGAGATGCAATAAAAGAGGAATATTGATCATTGGTGAGAAACCAAAACGTGGGATTTCCAAAGTCCGGTTAGAACGTACATCTGTAGTTAGTGAGGCTTACTTGGGGGGACACGTAGTGTGACGTCCCATCACCCAACATTATGTTCCATTAATTAATGAGACGAATTGTTTCTAAAAGAAATTTTTAAAAAGAAATTATATGAATATTTAGAATAAAATGGTCCATAAGTTTTTTTAATATGTATATATCGATGTATTCATAAAAACAATCTATAAAATTTATACCCAAAAACCTTTAAAAGACAAAAATATTAAGTAAAGCTTAAAGAAATAAAATTTAATGGTACAAAATAATTTCTAATCGTAGGGTCCATACTAAAACTATGCCGGCCTTTTCTGTAATTAAAGTTAAAATCTCATGCTTTGCGAGTTTTCCTCCGGTTGCTTCAACAGCTTGCTTGAGGATAGACCACCATGTAATTTAACCATCTGTTGGAATAATCATAGGTCATCCTAAGTGGTCCCTTAACTTTTCTATCTTTTTTTTATGTGTTACCAAAAACGGTAATTTTAACTTTGATCACTTACGTTTTTCTGTAACACATGATCGACTTGACAGAGATAGAGTCAATCTCGCTAAATAAAAGCTAAAACATATGTAACATCATCAAACGAGAGCATATATTTTCCCTTACTCTAAAGCTATTTGTTGGGTTTTTAGGAAATCTCTTATCCTTGTCTTACATTCCATTCACTCAACTATTTGACAAACTTGCTGAATTGGAAGGTGGTGTTACAGGTTTGGATCAAAGCCCAACTCTTCTAGTTTAGTTAAAAGGTTGACATCAAACAAAAAGAAAAGGAATCAAACTCCTACACAAAATGCTTGAAATTTTGAAACACATTAAAGCGAGTTAACTAAATTTAATGTGCCTATATGGACGGCCAGATTTGCATGTTGGCCTATACCGAATAAATAAATTAGTCAACATGAAACTTGCGAATACCAATCATTAAAATTGAATATTTTATGATTTTATATATTTATTGTATAGATCGATTATGCTAGAAACAATGATTTATATACCTTAAAAAGGAAATAGTTTTGAGATAAATGAACAAAAAAGGATACAATTTAATTAAAATGAACAATTACGTCCTTAATGGGAAAAGCCGTTAAACTAAATTTGCATTCTTACTCTAAAAATTCTTTGTTTCAGTTTTATGATAAATTGAATCACTAAATCGAAAGTTTACATCATCAATCGATTATTGCTTTCTCTGCCTCCCAAAGAAAAAATAAATTAAAAATGAAATTCTTTGTATCTTTTGTTATGTTCTTTCTCCTCTTAAATTGTTTCGCAACCTCATAAACTCTGATTCGAGATTCTTGCAAGAAAGCTGCAGCGAAAGATCGGAATATGAAGTACAATTTTTGCGTCGAGTCTCTTGAATCGAATCCTCATAGCAAAAGTGCAACAAGTATCAAAGGATTAGTCATAGCATCAACGAAGAATGCTGCATTAAACACGATTAACGTGGAAAGAATCGCTAAAACGATCCTCAATGAAAGGAAAACTTCTCCTGGTAATAAGGCAGCATTACGTGATTGCATCGAGCTTTATAAAGATGCAAATAGTTCTTTAAATAAAGCTTTAACGAACGTTAAATCACAGGATTACAGAAGAGCCAATGAGTATCTGATTTCTGCTTTTAATACACCGAGAATTTGTGAAGATATATTCACAAAAATGAAGAAAGCAAAATCTCAGATTAGAGATAAGAACAATGTTTTGCATCAAAATATTTTGATTGCTTTCACTTTTTCAATGATATTATGATAAAATTTCCCAAAGTGTAATTATCCAACATTGATTAATAAGAAACTTAAAAGAATTACATTATCTTGTGTTTAACGATATAATGTGTTAAATGTTTATAATATATTTTGGTTTTAATATATGTAGTACTCTAATATGCTCACATATATGATCACCATTTTTTAGATGTTTAACTAAACATCCCTTGTGGTATATGCAAACATTTATGATTCTTATTTAAAGTGTTATGGGAACAATCAGATTAGTTATGCATAAAATGAATGATAACTTTTTGATAGAGAATGCAATCAATATATACACTGCTCTATTTCTATTTTATAAAAGATTTAATTATTTTTATTACCAAATAAATAGATTATTTAAAATAAGAAAAACCAAAACAAACGACAATTGTAAGAATTCAGACATGAGCCTTCTAAAAAACTGCAAAATTTTAGAAAAATATTTGTTTAGAACGAACTAATTATGATGCTCAAAAATCAAATGAAAATTACTAGTTTTTACATGCAACCAGAAAATTTCTTATCAAATGTTGTGTTATTATTGTTCGGATCCACATCCTTTCAAACAGAGGTAGAATCTAAGGTGACACCCTTTTTCTTATTTTAGCATTTTGTTGTTGGAATTGCTTCTCTTTGTGGATCGCATACTCCAAAATGCTTGAAAAAAAAAGAAATTTTATTCGGTAATAGACCATGTATACGAGATTAACTGATGCCGAAAATCCTCATTTTCTCAGGTTTTGATTTGCGGTATATAATCTAAAATATTTCTATAAATTTTGAAAACGTTAAAACTCTATTTAATTAGAATGAAAAAATAGTTTATGATTATAAATGTTGTTTTGACCCTGATCTTAAGATAACCTGGCTAGTTTCTAGAGTTTTTCCACATTACTTATAAAGTTGTAAAAAAAAAAAGAATCAAACACCTATACAAATTAATGGATGCTTATACAACAATTCTGGAAAACACGAAGATTAAGAGCACAAGCACTGATGACATTTCTCTCTGTGTTTTACGAATTACTACAATATATAAGCCACTTAGGGTCACATAGGTCAGGGTAAATATCAATAAAAATAGCTTTACAAGAAAATGAGAGAAACAAGCTAATACAATAACTTGGTGATAGCAATGTCATTGCTCACATTGGTAAAATGACTTGATCATATACTCCCGCAAACAAACTTAGATTGCTGATTACTGATTTATATACTTATATTTCTTTCTTGAACATTGTACCTTTAAGAAAATAAGACCACGAGAAAAGTGTTTATAATCAGTATTGTGATTCACAATATATAACCCAAAGATGTTCAATTGATAATATCACTATTCCAATACCTCTTTATGGACATGCAATAAAAGAGGAATATTGATCATTGGTGAGAAACCAAAACGTGGGATTTCCAAAGTCCGGTTAAAACGTACATCTGTAGTCAGTGAGGCTTACTTGGGGGGACACTTAATGTGACATCCCATCACCCAACATTATGTTCCATTAATTAATGAGACAAATTGTTTCTAAAATAATTTTTTTAAAAGAAATTATATGAATATTTAGAATAAAACGGTCCATAAGCTTTTTTAATTCGTATATATCGATGTATTCATTAAAACAATCTATAAAATTTATACACAAAAACCTTTAAAAGACAAAAATATTAAGTAAAACTTACAGAAATAAAATTTCATGGTCCAAAATAATTTCTAATCCTAGGATCCATACTAAAACTAAGCCGGCCTTTTCTGTAATTAAAGCTAAAATCTCATGCTTTGCGAGTTTTCCTCCGGTTGCTTCAACAGCTTGCTTGAAGATAGACCACCATGTAATATAACCATCTGTTGGAATAATCATAGGTCATCCTAAGTGGTCCCCTAACTTTTCTATCTTTTTTTATGCGTTACCAAAAAAGGTAAATTTTACTTTGATCACTTACTTTTTTCTGTAACACATGATCGATTTGACAGAGATAGAGTCAATCTCGCTAAATAAACGCTAAAGCATGTGTAACATTATCAAACGAGAGCATATATTTTCCCTTACTCTAGAGCTATTTGTTTAGGAAATCTCTTATCCTTGTCTTACATTCCATTCACTCAACTATTTGACAAACTTGCTGAATTGGAAGGCTGTGTTACAGGTTTGGATCAAAGCCCAACGCTTCTAGTTTAGTTAAAAGGTTGACATCAAACAAAAAGAAAAGGAATCAAACTCCTACACAAAATGCTTGAAATTTTGAAACACATTAAAGCGAGTTGACTAAATTTAATGTGCCTATATGGAAGGCCAGATTTGCATGTTGGCTTATACCGAACAAATAAATTAGTCAACAAGAAACTTGCCAATACTAATCATTAAAATTGAATATTTTATGATTTTATATATTTATTGTATAGATCGATTATGCTAGAAACAATAATTTATATATCTTAAAAAGGAAATAGTTTTGAGATAAATGAACAAAAAAGGATACAATTTATATAAAATGAACAATTACGTCCTCAATGGGAAAAGCCGTTATACTAAATTCGCATTCTTACTCTGAAATTCTTTGTTTTAGTTTTACTATAAATTGAATTACTAAATCAAAATTTACATCATCAATCGATTATTGCTTTCTCTGCCCCCCAAAGAAAAAATAAATTAAAAATGAAATTCTTTGTTTCTTTTGTTATGTTCTTTCTCCTCTTAAATTGTTTCGCAACCTCACAAACTCTGATTCGAGATTCTTGCAAGAAAGCTGCAGCGAAAGATTGGAATATGAAGTACGATTTTTGCGTCGAGTCTCTTGAATCGAATCCTCATAGCAAAAGTGCAACAAGTATCAAAGGATTGGTCATAGCATCAACGAAGAATGCTGCATTCAACACGATTAACGTGGAAGGAATCGCTAAAACGATCCTCAATGAAAGGAAAACTTCTCATGGTAATAAGGCAGCATTACGTGATTGCATCGGGCCTTATAAAGATGCAAATAGTTCTTTAAACAATGCTTTAATGAACGTTAAATCACAGGATTACAGAAGAGCTAATGAGTATCTGATTTCAGTTTTTGATGCACCGAGAATTTGTGAAGATATATTCACAAAAATCAAGAAAGCAAAATCTCCGATTAGAGATGAGAACATTGTTTTGCGTCAAAATATTTTGATTCCTTTCGCTTTTTCAATGATGTTATGATAAAATTTCCCAAAGTGTAATTATTCAACATTGATTAATAAGAAACTTAATAGAATTACATTATCTTGTGTTTAGCGATATACTGTGTTAAATGTTTATGATAGTTTTTGGTTTTACTCTATGTAGTACTCTAATATGCTCACATATATGATCACCAGTTTTTTAGATGTTTAACTAAACATCCCTTGTGGTATATGCAAACATTTATGATTCTTATTTTACGTGTTATGGGAACAATCAGATTAGTTATGCATAAAATGAATGATAACTCTTTGATAGAGAATGCTATCAATATATACACTGCTCTATTTATATTTTATTAAACATTTAATTATTTTTATTACCAACTAAATAGATTATTTAAAATAAACAAAAGCAAAACAAACGACAATTGTAAGAATTCAGACATGAGCCTTCTAAATAAACTGCAAAGTTTTAGAAAAATGATTGCTTAGAACGGACTAATTATGATGCTCAAAAATCAAATGAAAGTTACAAGTTTTTACATGGAACCAGAAAATTTCTTATCACACGTTGTGTTATTATTGTCCGGATCCACATCCTTTCAAACAGAGGTAGAATCTCAGGTGAGACCCTTTTTCCTATTTTAGCATTTTGTTGTTGGAATTGCTTCTCTTTGTGGATCGCATACTCCAAAATGCTTAAAAAAAAAGAAATTTTGTTCGGTAATAGACCATGTATACGAGATTAACAGATGCCGAAAATCCTCATTTTCTCAGGTTTTGATTTGCGGAATATAATCTAAAATATTTCTATAAATTTTGAAAACGTTAAAACTCTATTTAATTAGAATGGAAAAATAGTTTATGATTATAAAGGTTGTTTTGACCCTGATCTTAAGATAACCTGGCTAGTTTTCTAAAGTTTTTCCACATTACTTATAAAGTTGTAAAAAAAAAAAGAATCAAACACCTATACAAATTAGGGGATGCTTATACAACAATTCTGGAAAACACGAAGATTAAGAGCACAAGCACTGTTGACAATTAATGACAACTTTTTATCAAATCATACTCCAAAAGCACTAATGACATTTCTCTCTGTGTTTTACGAATTACTACAATATATAAGCCACTTAGGGTCACATAAGTCAGAGTGAATATCAATAAAAATAGCTTTACAAGAAAATGAGAGAAACAAGCTAATACAATAACTTGGTGATAGCAATGTCATTGCTCACATTGGTAAAATGACTTGATCATATACTCCCGCAAACAAACTTAGATTGCTGATTACTGATTTATATACTTATATTTCTTTCTTGAACATTGTACCTTTAAGAAAATAAGACCACGAGAAAAGTGTTTATAATCAGTATTGTGATTCACAATATATAACCCAAAGATGTTCAATTGATAATATCACTATTCCAATACCTCTTTATGGACATGCAATAAAAGAGGAATATTGATCATTGGTGAGAAACCAAAACGTGGGATTTCCAAAGTCCGGTTAAAACGTACATCTATAGTCAGTGAGGCTTACTTGGGGGGACACTTAGTGTGACGTCCCATCACCCAACATTATGTTCCATTAATTAATGAGACGAATTGTTTCTAAAAGAATTTTTTTAAAAGAAATTATATGAATATTTAGAATAAAACGGTCCAAAAGCTTTTTTAATTCGTATATACTCTAGAGCTATTTGTTTAGGAAATCTCTTATCCTTGTCTTACATTCCATTCACTCAACTATTTGACAAACTTGCTGAATTGGATGGCGGTGTTACAGGTTTGGATCAAAGCCCAACGCTTCTAGTTTAGTTAAAAGGTTGACATCAAACAAAAAGAAAAGGAATCAAACTCCTACACAAAATGCTTGAAATTTTGAAACACATTAAAGCGAGTTGACTAAATTTAATGTGCCTATATGGAAGGCCAGATTTGCATGTTGGCCTATACCGAACAAATAAATTAGTCAATAAGAAACTTCCCAATACTAATCATTAAAATTGAATATTTTATGATTTTATATAATTATTGTATAGATCGATTAAGCTAGAAACAATGATTTATATATCTTAAAAAAGAAATTGTTTTGAGATAAATGAACAAAAAAGGATACAATTTAATTAAAATGAACAATTACGTCCTTAATGGGAAAAGCCGTTATACTAAATTCGCATTCTTACTCTGAAATTCTTTGTTTCAGTTTTACTATAAATTGAATCACTAAATCAAAATTTACATCATCAATCGATTATTGCTTTCTCTGCCTCCCAAAGAAAAAATAAATTAAAAATGAAATTCTTTGTTTCTTTTGTTATGTTCTTTCTCCTCTTAAATTGTTTCGCAACCTCACAAACTCTGATTCGAGATTCTTGCAAGAAAGCTGCAGCGAAAGATTGGAATATGAAGTACGATTTTTGCGTCGAGCCTCTTGAATCGAATCCTCATAGCAAAAGTGCAACAAGTATCAAAGGATTGGTCATAGCATCAACGAAGAATGCTGCATTCAACACGATTAACGTGGAAAGAATCACTAAAACAATCCTCAATGAAAGGAAAACTTCTCATGGTAATAAGGCAGCATTACGTGATTGCATCGGGCCTTATAAATATGCAAATAGTTCTTTAAACAATGCTTTAATGAACGTTAAATCACAGGATTACAGAAGAGCTAATGAGTATCTGATTTCAGCTTTTGATGCACCGAGAATTTGTGAAGATATATTCACAAAAATCAAGAAAGCAAAAACTCCGATTAGAGATGAGAACATTGTTCTGCGTCAAAATATTTTGATTCCTTTCGCTTTTTCAATGATGTTATGATAAAATTTCCCAAAGTGTAATTATTCAACATTGATTAATAAGAAACTTAATTGAATTACGTTACCTTGTGTTTAGCGATATAATGTGTTAAATGTTTATGATAGTTTTTGGTTTTACTATATGTAGTACTCTAATATGCTCACATATATGATCACCATTTTTTAGATGTTTAACTAAACATCCCATGTGGTATATGCAAACATTTATGATTCTTATTTTACGTGTTATGGGAACAATCAGATTAGTTATGCATAATATGAATGATCACTTTTTTGATAGAGAATGCAATCAATATATACACTGATCTATTTATATTTTATAAAATATTTAATTATTTTTATTACCAAATAAATAGATTATTTAAAATAAGCAAAAGCAAAACAAAAGACAATTGTAAGAATTCAGACATGAGCCTTCTCAAAAAACTGCAAAGTTTTAGAAAAATGATTGCTTAGAACGGGCTAATTATGATGCTCAAAAATCAAATGAAAATTACAAGTTTTTACATGGAACCAGAAAATTTCTTATCACACATTGTGTTATTATTGTCCGGATCCACATCTTTTCAAACAGAGGTAGAATCCAAGGTGAGACCTCTTCTCCTATTTTAGCATTTTGTTTTTGGAATTGCTTCTCTTTGTGGATCGCATACTCCAAAATGCATGAAAAAAAAATATTTGGTAATAGACCATGTATACGAGATTAACTGATGTCGAAAATCCTCATTTTCTCAGGTTTTGATTTGTAGAATATAATCTAAAATATTTCTATAAATTTTGAAAACGTTAAAACTCTATTTAATTAAAATGGAAAAATAGTTTATGATTAAAAAGCTTATTTTGGACCGTCATCTTAAGATAATCTGGCTAGTTTTCTAGAGTTTTTCCACTTTACTTATAAAGTTGTAAAATAAAAAAAATAAAAATCAAGCGCCTATACAAATAATAGGATGCGTATACAACAATTCTGGAAAACACGAAGATTGAGAGCACAAGCACTAATGACAACTTTTTGTCAAATCATACTCTAAAAGCACTAATGACATTTCTCTCCGAATTTTACGAATTACTACAATATACAAGCCACTTAGGGTCACAAAGGTCAGAATAAATGTCAATAAAAATATCTTTACAAGAAAATGAGAGAAACAAGCTAATACAATAACTTGGTGATAGCAATGTCATTGCTCACATTGGTAAAATCACTTGATCATATACTCCCGCAAACAAACTTAGATTGCTGGTTACTGATTTATATACTTATATTCCTTTCATGAACACTGTACCTTTAAGAAAATAAGACCACGAGAAAAGTGTTTATAATCAGTATTGTGATTCACAATATATAACCCAAAGATGTTCAATTGATAATATCACTATTCCAATACCTCTTTATGGACATGCAATAAAAGAGGAATATTGATCATTGGTGAGAAACCAAAACGTGGGATTTCCAAAGTCTGGTTAAAACGTACATATGTAGTCAGTGAGGCTTACTTGGGGGGACATGTAGTGTGACGTCCCATCACCCAACATTATGTTCCATTAATTAATGAGACGAATTGTTTCTAAAAAAGTTTTTTTGAAGAAATTACATGAAAATTAAGAATAAAACGGTCCATAAGTTTTTTTTTAATTCGTATATATCGATGTATTCATAAAATCAATCTATAAAATTTATACACAAAGACCTTTAATTAGAATGGAAAAATAGTTTATGATTAAAAAGGTTGTTTTGGACCGTGAACTTAAGATAACCTGGCTAGTTTTCTAGAGTTTTTCCACTTTACTTATAAAGTTGTAAAATAAAAAAATAAAAATCAAGCACCTATACAAATAATGGGATGCTTATACAACAATTCTGGAAAACACGAAGATTGAGACCACAAGCACTAATGACAATTAATGACAACTTTTTGTCAAATCATACTCCAAAAGCACTAATGATATTTTTCTCCGAGTTTTACGAATTACTACAATATACAAGCCACTTAGGATCACAAAGGTCAGAGTAAATATCAATAAAAATAGCTTTACAAGAAAATGAGAGAAAAAGCTAATACAATAACTTGGTGATAGCAATGTCATTGCTCACATTGGTAAAATCACTTGATCATATACTCCCGCAAACAAACTTAGATTGCTGATTGCTGATTTATATACTTATATTCCTTTCATGAACACTGTACCTTTAAGAAAATAAGACCACGAGAAAAGTGTTTATAATCAGTATTGTGACTCACAATATATAACCCAAAGATTTTCAATTGATAATATCACTATTCCAATACCTCTTTATGGACATGCAATAAAGGAGGTATATTGATCATTGGTGAGAAACCAAAACGTGGGATTTCCAAAGTCCGGTTAAAACGTACATCTGTATTCAGTGAGGCTTACTTGGGGGACATGTAGTGTGACGTCCCATCACCCAACATTATATTCCATTAATTAATGAGATGAATTGTTTATAAAAGATTTTTTTTTAAAGAAATTATATGAATATTTAGAATAAAACGGTCTATAAGTTTTTTTAATTCGTATATATTGATGTATTCATAAAAACAATCTAT